TCTGTTGTTGTTGTGGTTGTTGTTGTGGTTGTTGTGGTTGTTGTTGTTGTTACAGCTACATGATGATGCGAGACTGCTGGGCCTCAATGCCTTACCAGAGGCCCACGTTCCACCAGCTGGTCGAAGACTTGGATCGCATCCTCAGCATCACCACTCAAGACGTGAGTGTGGGGTGGGTGGGGTGGGTGGAGTGGGGTGCGTGGGGTGGGATGGGTGGGGTGGGTGGGGTGGGGGGATGGGGTGGGTGGAGTGGGTGGGGTGGGTGGGTGGGTGGAGTGGGTGGGGTGGGTGGGATGGAGTCGGTGGAGTGGAGTGGGTGTGTCTCTGTGTGTCTCTGTGTGTGTCTCTGTGTCTGGGTGTGTGTGTCTCTGTGTGTGTCTCTGTCTCTGTGTGTGTGTTTGTGTCTCTGTGTGTGTGTGTGTCTCTGTCTCTGTGTGTGTGTTTGTGTCTCTGTGTGTGTGTGTCTCTGTTTCTGTGTGTGTCTCTGTCTCTGTGTGTGTTAGTGTGTGTGTGTGCAAAACAACCCCCTACCTCCTCGCGGTGCCGGACGGGCAACTCTGTCGTGGACAGTGCTGTGGGGGGAGATCCAAGTTTGATTGGCTCCTCCCCTCATGGCATATGTGTCCACCACAGGGGCTAAACGGGGGCTCTGGACGGGTGGGAGGGGCTGGTAACCCCTCCACCTTCAATAAATTACCACTAAACTACAAATGAAAATTTTAACTAATAAGCTTGTGCCGGAGGCCCCGGGGGGTCAGGCGTCTATGACGTCTCCTGGCCAAACCCCAATTGGCGGAGCCAGGAGATTGAATACCTACCCTCGGGGCTACTCCAGAAACAACGAAAAGCCACTTCGTGTGGCCACGTGGAATGTTGGAACACTCACTGTGGAGGAGAGGCTGCCGCTTCTCCGTCGGGAGCTGGACCGGTACCGCCTGCATCTGTGTGGCATTCAGGAGGTCCGGTGGACCGGCTCTGGCTCCTGCCACCATGAGGGGTGGACAGTCCTCTACTCGGGGCAGCAGACTGCCAAACAACAGGGTGTGGCTCTTCTTTTGAACAAAAGAATTAAGGGGGCGTGGGAGCGTGGCAGTGAGGTGTGGGAGGCTGTAAGCCCCAGACTACTTTGGGCTCGCCTTCCCATCAACCGGAGGCGAGGAATGGTGGTCGTGGTTACTTATGCCCCCACCGAAGACGAACATCCATGGAGGGATGCAGGCAAAGCCGATGAGTCAGATGCCTTCTATGACCTCCTGTCACAGGTGCTGGCTAAAGTGGCACCTCGGGATAGAGTAATCTTGTTGAGTGACTTCAATGCCCGAGTTGGTCATGATGCTGGCACCTGGTCTGGAGTGATTGGAGGGCATGGGCTAGATCAGCTCAATAACAACGGTAGGAGGCTGCTAGATTTTTGTGCAGCCCATGGGCTTGTAATTACCAACACGCTGTTCCGGCATCGGCGCATCCACACAACATTATGGATGCATGCCGGGTCCAAGCAAGAACATCTGCTGGACTACACAGTGACGGACCAGCGGATGCGAGCCCATGTCCTTGACACCAGGACCTACCGTGGAGCTGATCTGCCCGCTGACCATCGACTAGTCATCTGTAAGATGCGCCTACCATTCTTCCACTCCGGTGGTGGGTGTACACCCAGGACCCCATTCCAACCTAAAGTGGCCTGGTCTCAGTTATCTGATGAAAGTTGCAAGCGAGATTTCATCATCACTTGCGGCTGGGGTTGGCATCGTCCCCCACTCCTCCTGATGTCGAGGGTAAATGGGCGAGGTTTAGGACTGTGACTCATGCAGCTGCAATGGCTGCTTTGGGTACGCGGTCCAGACCTCCCCAGAGACCCTGGCTGACAGAGGAGGTGTTCAGGATGGTTGAGAAAAAGCGACAGGCCCACTCTCATCGTCTACAGCATCTCTGTGTGTGTGTCTCTGTGTGTGTGTCTCTGTGTGTGTCTCTGTGTGTCTGTGTGTCTCTGTGTCTCTGTGTGTGTTTCTGTGTCTCTGTGTGTGTCTCTGTGTGTCTCTGTGTCTCTGTGTGTGTCTCTCTGTGTGTGTCTCTGTGTCTCTGTGTGTGTCTCTCTGTGTGTGTCTCTCTGTGTCTCTGACTCTGTGTGTCTCTGTGTCTCTGTGTGTCTCTGTGTGTGTCTCTGTGTCTCTGACTCTCTGTGTCTCTGACTCCCCCAGGACTACCTGGAGCTCTCTGTGTGTGTCTCTGACTCTCTGCATCTCTGTGTGTGCCTCTGTGTCTCTGTGTGTCTCTGACTCTCTGTGTCTCTGTGTGTCTCTGACTCTCTGTGTGTCTCTGTGTCTCTGTGTGTGTCTCTGTGTCTCTGTGTGTCTCTGTGTCTCTGTGTCTCTGTGTGTGTCTCTGTGTCTCTGTGTCTCTGACTCCCCCAGGACTACCTGGAGCTCTCTGTGTGTGTCTCTGTGTTTGTGTGTCTCTGTGTTTCTGTGTGTGTCTCTGTGTCTCTGTGTGTCTCTGTGTCTCTGACTCTGTGTCTCTGTGTCTCTGTCTCTGTGTCTCTGTGTGTCTCTGACTCTCTGTGTCTCTGTGTGTGTCTCTGTGTCTCTGTGTCTCTGTGTGTCTCTGTGTCTCTGACTCTGTGTCTCTGTGTCTCTGTCTCTGTGTCTCTGTGTGTCTCTGTGTGTGTCTCTGTGTCTCTGTGTGTGTCTCTGTGTGTCTCTGTGTGTCTCTCTGACTCTCTGTGTCTCTGTGTGTGTCTCTGTGTCTCTGTGTCTCTGTGTGTCTCTGTGTGTCTCTGACTCTGTGTCTCTGACTCCCCCAGGACTACCTGGAGCTCTCTGTGTGTGTCTCTGACTCTCTGTGTGTCTCTGTGTGTGTGTGTCTCTGTGTGTGTCTCTGTGTCTCTGACTCTCTGTGTTTCTCTGTGTCTCTGTGTCTCTGACTCTGTGTCTCTGTGTCTCTGACTCTGTGTCTCTGTGTGTCTCTGACTCTCTGACTCTCTGTGTGTCTCTGTGTGTGTCTCTGTGTCTCTGACTCTCTGTGTGTCTCTGTGTGTGTCTCTGTGTCTCTGACTCTGTGTCTCTGTGTCTCTGACTCTGTGTCTCTGTGTGTCTCTGACTCTCTGACTCTCTGTGTGTGTCTCTGTGTGTGTCTCTGTGTCTCTGACTCCCCCAGGCCTACCTGGAGCTCTCTGTGTGTCTCTCTGTGTCTCTGACTCTCTGTGTGTCTCTGTGTCTCTGACTCTCTGTGTGTCTCTGTGTCTCTGACTCTCTGTGTGTCTCTGTGTCTCTGACTCTCTGTGTGTCTCTGTGTCTCTGACTCTGTGTCTCTGTGTGTCTCTCTCCCCCAGGACTACCTGGAGCTCTATGTGTGTGTCTCTGTGTGTCTCTCTGTGTCTCTGTGTGTCTCTGACTCTCTGTGTCTCTGTGTGTGTCTCTGTGTGTGTCTCTGTGTCTCTGACTCTCTGTGTGTGTCTCTGTGTGTGTCTCTGTGTCTCTGTGTGTGTCTCTGACTCCCCCAGGACTACCTGGAGCTCTCTGTGTGTGTGTCTCTGTGTGTGTCTCTGTGTCTCTGACTCTCTGTGTTTCTCTGTGTGTGTCTCTGTGTCTCTGTGTGTCTGTGTGTGTGTGTGTCTCTGTGTGTGTGTCTGTGTCTCTGACTCTCTGTGTGTCTCTGTGTCTCTGTGTCTCTGACTCCCCCAGGACTACCTGGAGCTCTCTGTGTGTGTCTCTGTGTGTCTCTGTGTCTCTGTGTGTCTCTGTGTCTCTGTGTGTCTCTGTGTGTCTCTGTGTCTCTGTGTGTCTCTGTGTGTCTCTGTGTCTCTGTGTGTCTCTGTGTGTCTCTCTGTGTGTCTCTGTGTGTCTCTGTGTGTCTCTCTGTGTGTCTCTGTGTGTCTCTGTGTGTCTCTCTGTGTGTCTCTGTGTGTCTCTGTGTGTCTCTCTGTGTGTCTCTGACTCTCTGTGTGTCTCTGTGTGTCTCTCTGTGTGTCTCTTTGTGTGTCTCTGTGTGTCTCTGTGTGTGTCTTTGTGTGTCTCTGTGTGTCTCTCTGTGTGTCTCTGTGTGTGTCTCTGTGTCTCTGACTCTGTGTCTCTGACTGCCCCAGGACTACCTGGAGCTCTCTGTGTGTGTCTCTCTGTGTGTCTCTCTGTGTGTCTTTGTGTGTCTCTGTGTGTCTCTGACTCTGTGTCTCTGACTGCCCCAGGACTACCTGGAGCTCTCTGTGTGTGTCTCTGTGTGTCTCTGTGTCTCTGTGTGTCTCTGTGTGTCTCTGTGTCTCTGTGTGTCTCTGTGTGTCTCTCTGTGTGTCTCTGTGTGTGTCTCTGTGTGTCTCTCTGTGTGTCTCTGTGTGTCTCTGACTCTGTGTCTCTGACTGCCCCAGGACTACCTGGAGCTCTCTGTGTGTGTCTCTGTGTGTCTCTGTGTCTCTGTGTGTCTCTGTGTGTCTCTGTGTCTCTGTGTGTCTCTGTGTGTCTCTCTGTGTGTCTCTGTGTGTCTCTCTGTGTGTCTCTGTGTGTCTCTCTGTGTGTTTCTGTGTGTCTCTGTGTGTGTCTCTGTGTCTCTGTGTGTCTCTGACTCTGTGTCTCTGACTGCCCCAGGACTACCTGGAGCTCTCTGTGTGTGTCTCTGTGTGTGTCTCTGTGTGTCTCTGTGTGTCTCTGTGTGTCTCTGTGTCTCTCTCTGTGTCTCTGTGTCTCTCTGTGTGTCTCTGTGTGTCTCTGTGTGTCTCTGACTCTGTGTCTCTGACTGCCCCAGGACTACCTGGAGCTCTCTGACCCCGTGGAGCTGCTCCAGGTCAGCACTGTCCGTGGTGTAGCCCGCAACTCCACCACCTCCTCCACCTCCTCGTCCACCTCGTCCACCTCCTCCACCTCCACCTCGTCTGGAGACGATTCTGTCTTCTCTCACGAGCATCAGCAGCAGCATCATCATCATCATCATCAGCAGCAGCAGAATCATCAGCAGCAGCATCGTCATCAGCATCAGCAGCAGAATCATCAGCATCATCAGCAGAATCATCATCAGCGTAATCATCATCTTCAGCAGCAGAATCATCATCAGCAGCATCAGCAGCAGCAGCAGCTGTAGCAGCATCAGTATCAGCATAATCAGCAGCATCAGTAGCAGCAGCATCAGCAGTATCATCAACAGAATCATCACCAGCATCAGTATCATCAGCAGAATCAGCATCATAAGTATTATCAGCATCATCAGCAGAAACATCGTCAGCAGCATAATCATAATCAGTTCCTGAAATATTACCAGCAGCCAGACTCACTCACTCATACACTCACTCATTCACTCACTCATACACTCACTCACTCATACACTCACTCATACACTCACTCATTCACTCATACACTCACTCACTCACTCATACACTAACTCACTCATACACTCACTCATTCACTCATACACTCACTCACTCATACACTCACTCATTCACTCATACACTCATTCACTCATACACTCACTCATTCACTCACTCATACACTCACTCACTCATACACTCACTCACTCATACACTCACTCACTCATACACTCACTCATACACTCACTCACACACTCACTCACTCATACACTCACTCACTCATACACTCACTCACTCATACACTCACTCACACACTCATTCACTCATACACTCACTCACTCATACACTCACTCATTCACTCACTCATACACTCACTCACTCATACACTCACTCATACACTCACTCATACACTCACTCACACACTCACTCACTCATACACTCACACACTCATACACTCACTCACTCATACACTCACTCATACACTCACTCACTCATACACTCACTCATACACTCACTCATACACTCACTCATACACTCACTCACTCATACACTCACTCATACACTCACTCACTCATACACTCATTCACTCATACACTCATTCACTCACTCATACACTCACTCACTCACTCATACACTCACTCATACACTCACTCACTCACTCATACACTAACTCACTCATACACTCACTCATTCACTCATACACTCACTCACTCATACACTCACTCATTCACTCATACACTCATTCACTCACACACTCACTCACTCATACACTCACTCATTCACTCATACACTCATTCACTCATACACTCACTCATTCACTCACTCATACACTCACTCACTCACTCATACACTCACTCACTCATACACTCACTCATACACTCACTCACACACTCACTCACTCATACACTCACTCACTCATACACTCACTCACTCATACACTCACTCACACACTCATTCACTCATACACTCACTCACTCATACACTCACTCATTCACTCACTCATACACTCACTCACTCATACACTCACTCATACACTCACTCATACACTCACTCACACACTCACTCACTCATACACTCACACACTCATACACTCACTCACTCATACACTCACTCATACACTCACTCACTCATACACTCACTCATTCACTCACTCATACACTCACTCATACACTCACTCACTCATACACTCACTCATACACTCACTCACTCATACACTCACTCATACACTCACTCACTCATACACTCACTCACTCATTCACTCACTCATTCACTCACTCATACACTCACTCATACACTTACTCATACACTCACTCATTCACTCACTCACACACTCACTCATACACTCACTCATACACTCACTCATTCACTCACTCACTCATACACTCACACACTCACTCACTCATACACTCACTCACTCATACACTCACTCACTCATACACTCACTCACTCATACACTCACTCATACACTCACTCATACACACACTCACTCACTCATACACTCACTCATTCACTCACTCATACACTCACTCATTCACTCACTCACACACTCACTCATACACTCACTCACTCATACACTCACTCATTCACTCACTCACTCACTGATACACTCACACACTCACTCACTCATACACTCACTCACTCATACACTCACTCACTCATACACACACTCACTCATACACTCACTCATTCACTCACTCATACACTCACTCACTCATACACTCACCCACTCACCCACCCACTTACTCACTCACTCACCCACTCACTCACTCACCCACTCACCCACTCACTCATCCACTCACTCACCTACTCACCCACTCACTCACTCACCCACTCACTCATCCACTCACTCACCCACTCACTCATTCACCCACTCACCCACTCACTTACTCACCCACTCACTCACTCACCCAATCACTCACCCACTCACTAACTCACTCACCCACTCACTCACTCACCCACTCGCTCACCCACTAGCTCACCCACTCGCTCACCCACTCGCTCACCCACTCACTCACCCACTCACTCACCCACTCACTCACCCACTCACCCACTCACTCATACACTCACTCACTCATACACTCACTCACTCACACACTCATACACTCACTCACTCACCCACTCACTCATACACTCACTCACTCATACACACACTCACACACTCATACACTCACTGACACTCACTCACTCACCCACTCACACACACACAGACACACACATACATACACATACACACACAGACACACACACAGACACATACACACACACAGACACACGCACATAGACACACACATACACACACACGCATACAGACAAACGTACACATGCACACACACAGACACACACACAGACAGACACACACACACAGACAGACAGACACACACACACAGACATACACACAGACAGACACACACATATATACAGAGACACACACAGACACACATACAGACACATACACACACATAGACAAACACATAGACACAGACACACACAGACACACACAGACACACAGACACAGACACACAGACACACACACACATACACACAGACACACACACACAGACACACACAGACAGACACACACAGACAGACACACACAGACAGACACACACAGACAGACACACACAGACAGACACACACACATACATACGCACACACATACATATGCACACACAGACACACACACAGACACACACACAGACACACACACAGACACACAGACACACACACAGACACACAGACACACACACAGACACACAGACACACACACAGAGACGTGTGTGTGTGTGTAAATGTGTTACACAGATGAGTTGTGTAACTTGGTCGAATTCGTACGCGATCTTTTTTTATAGATATAAACCTCGATACCTAGATAATGCAGTATTTTTGTAAACACTCACATGTACACACACACAGTGACACACACACATGTACACACACACACACTCATCTGTACACACACACACGTGTACACACACACACGTGTACACACACACACACGTGTACACACACACACACACACGTGTACACACACACGTGTACACACATACACACGTACACACACACACGTGTACACACACACACGTGTACACACACGTGTACACACACACACACACGTGTACACATACTCCTCACCGCCACGCACCCTTTATTCTTTCAGACACACACACATAGACACACACACAGACACACACACATACACACACAGACACACACACAGACACACACACAGACACACACAGACACACACACACACACAGACACACACACACAGACACACACACACACAGACACACACACACAGACACACACACACACAGACACACACACACACAGACACACACACACAGACACACAGACACACACACAGACACACACACATACACACACACACACATAGACAGACACACTACTATTGCTATAGTATATATAGTAATGGTAGTAATATATATACTATATATGTTATACACACACACACACTCAGACAAACAGACACACCACTATTGCTATATTATATATATTATAGCAATAGTAGTAATATATACATTATATGTTATACACACACAGACACACTGCTATTGCTATATTATATATATTATGGCAACAGTAGTTATATATATATACACATTTAATGTTATACACACAGACAGACACACACACACAGACACACACAGAGACACACACACAGACACACTACTATTGCTATATTATATATAGTAATAGTAGTAATATATACTATATATGATATACACAACAACAACCGCCATTCGCCACTAAGTGGCGGTGACGTCACCACGACGCTTGTGCCAGGCTATGTGCACCCTGAGGCCACGTGAAGTGTCGAACGCCCGCTGGCAGGAGGTCACGGGGCAGACCCAGCAGGTGCCACGGGTCGACTGACTGAGATGACTGGCTGATGCACCACCTGTGCCCCCTACTCTGCCAATCTGCTGTGCTTTAGCCACCCGGCGCTCCGCTCGTTGTTTTGAGCGTCGCTCCTCCGCCCTCCGTTGTTGTTGGAGGGCGACTACCTCCAACTGCCCAGTAGCGTTCTTCACGAGCCTCCTCCACAGAGGCCGATCTTCACACCGCTGGTACCAGTCATCGGCAAGTCCACTCAGCTCCACGTTCTCCTGTACCACATCACTCCATCTCTTCTCTAGCCCGTGCCGTGCCCGCTTAGCCCCCTCAATCCGGCCGAACAAAAGCTGTTTCGGCATGCGGTGGCTGGGCATGCGGGCTACATGACCCAGCCATCGCAGCCTTGCCCGCCGGAGGAGCTCACCGATGGGACCTTGCCCAGATCTTTCAAGGATTTGTGAGCTCCTCACACAATCCAGTCTGGTCAAACCCAGGATGGATCGTAGGCAGGCCAGCCTAAATGTTTCTAACCGGCGAAGATGTTCCATTAGGGGGGTCCACGTTTCGCAAGCATAGAGAAGGGAGGGAATGACCGTGGCCGAGAAGACCTGAAGCTTAGTGCGGAGCGACAGACCAGGTAGCTTCCACACAGCGTTACGCAACCGATGAAAAGATATTGCCGCTCGACTGATTCGGAGTGAGACCTCTGCTGTTAAACTGGAGCCAGTCATAAGCACACTGCCCAGGTATGGGAAACTCTCCACTCTCTACACAACTGCCCCATCACCGATTGGGAGTTGTGGGGGTGGAGTGTCCGATGGTACAAAATACCCAGGCAGGTGCTTAGTTTTG